CCCCAAAACCCCAAAACCCCGTCCTAAAGTTTAAGCTTTATTTATGAAATCAAGAAATTAATGATAAAAATAGATTATATTGATTCCATCACTGAATCAAAGATAGTAAGGGATATCCTTATGTTTGTGTATTTTCTTTAGTATAAAGTACGCTACATCCTTGCTACTAAAATATTTAATATGAGCCTTCAATATCCCAACTGGCTTTATGATAGTCTCAAGACCTTTTTCTTGCAATAAAAAATCATATCTCTAGTCCTCAAGTGCACATTCATCGTCAAAGTCCTCATCATTTTAATGAGTTCCATAGCCTCCTAGTCTTTCCCCGTCTGCATCTGTTTGTCTCAAACTAGCATTATCATCTTTTAAGAGTTGTTCAGCCTCTTAAGCTTTCAGTTACTATTGAATCTCGTTGATTTACTAGAAAGCTGAGTGGACTATACTGTTTGGATTCTACTTGAAAAAGTTGGAAATAGACAGATATGTTCTATACCCATTATTCTTGTAGTATGGCAACTTTACTGGAGGCTTGATTTCATTCTAAACTCCACCTAAGTCGTTATTTGAAAATAATGGTTCTATTCTATAGGCTATGAAATCGGCTGGATGGAATATATTATAGAAGTTCTTTGTAGTTGGTAATTTTTCTTTTATGAAGTTCTCCTCATTGTAAATGCTGACAAATAATCCTAGAGGACTTCCAAGTAAAAAATAGTGTTCAATATTAAATCCAAGCTGCAAAGCCTCATCCTCTGGACTCATTTTGTAATTACTGCTATCTGATTATAAATTAGTAGCTTCATCTTTATCGACTGATAAATCTTCAAATAAGTGCCTAGTTTAGCTTTTTCTAGAGAGACTAGGCTTTGCTGGCTATTACCTCGCCAAAAGATCATAAGAAATTGCTGTGCCGAGTGAATGCCCAACCCATGTTACTTTACCCTTAAATCTTTTATTCTTGCCGCCCTAGGACAGTTCGTTATAGTAGGTTCTAGCCTCCTACGCCACCTTATTCAAAATCTAAGTTCTGTATTGCTAGCTGAGGTAGAACAGTATATCAACTACTGTCTCATTAAACACTTCTCGGACTGACTAGGCTCCGTCAACTACTGTTACTCTATCAACTTTTTCCTTTGTGTGCTTATTATTCAAGATGCTTTTCCAATCAACCATTTTTATAACAAAGTCATAGTTGGTGTTTTTAAAGTAGCGCTTGCACACTTTTTCAATTGAAGCTCTGAACTCCTTGATATTCTAAGCCTAGTATGCCTCTTTAGTGCCTATGCCATGAACTAGTAAAATTAAGTATTGTTCTCTTGTGTTTTCTACATACTCAAATTGCTTAATAAATGCTGATTCATCTCTTTACAGTTTCTTCTCTTCCTCCTCATCGTCTGAGGATACTGAAGAGCAGGCAGAATCTCCCTTATGATCATTTTCAGCTATTTTTTCCTCAGATTTGCTCTTAGTTATTTTAAGCTAAGGGGAATCTGGCTAATTTACCCTTGACTTCCTTCATTCAGCTGCATCACAGTGAGAACCCTTCCTTTGTTGTTAAAGAGGCTGAGAATTATGAGTGTTGGCATCTGGTTTAGATTTAGGGGAGAAGCTGAACAGATTCTTCAAGTTATTCAGAAAGCTCTGCTGATTCCTCTTTGGTGTTATGTCGGGGACTTCTAAATCTCCATTGTTTTTTTGGACATCTTCCTATTTACTTTGCAGAGTGACTGAAGGAACTGAAATTGAGATTTTATCAATGGATACGGATTTATTATCTTCTGTGTCTACTTGCTCAATTTGAATCTGTGGATCTCTTTATAGCTGCTCCGACTTAGACCTCTCATTAAGCTATAATTATTGAGTTGATTCCATGATTTTTAGAATTTATAATTTATTAAACTTTAATTTTTGTAAGAAGATATAAATTTAAACTTGGATTTCAGTTAAAGCGTTAGGATTTATTTAATTGCTTAAGTATGTATCTATATATAAGCACTCAACCACTTTGAAATAATTTATATTACTTTTATCCATTCAATAAAACTCGTTAACCATTGACATCTAAGCTTTTAACTTATTTTGCCTTTGCTATATTTGCTTCTTAGCGCCGTGCCTTCGTTTCAGAGATATCTCATACTATCCAATCTGAACATTAGGCGCGGACCCTGGCACGTTAAGCTGCATGTATTGCAATTTTTGATTTATAAATGCTCGTTTATCTTCGCTAGTCATGTTATCAGGGTTTACTACATCTATCAATGAAGACTGCGCATTATCATCGCTGAATTTATTCACGTGCTGCCAGTGCTTTTGCTTATTCTTATAAAATTAAGCTTATCTATAAACAAATTAAATGATGATTCTATCACTTACATCTCCTCATTGACGTTATTTGATGCTGGTATATACATATTCTTCACTCCTGAATTTTCAGACCTATCAAAGATACCTCCCTTCTCATTTTCAATGACATGCTGCTTTCTCAGATGATCTGCTGCAAAGTTATGCTTCATATCTCTGAGTCTTTCGGTTTCATTTATAGTAAGACCAGCTGCTCTACCTAGGAGGTCACTATTATTATGAGAGTCCTTGGGGCTCATTCCTCCAGCTGACATGATATCTCCTCTATCTTTTTCTCTTTGCATTTGATCCCTCATTACTTGATAATTACTCATAGAGTTAGTCACGCTTATGTTATTTGGTGGTCCACCTGCTCTTCTTTATGACTCAGCGTTGTACTTACTCTTAAGGTTTGTTGTATTTTCACTCTGTGGGTGTATGAGAGAGCTACCAATCTCTCCCATCATGCTTCTCTTCCTAATACTCTGCATATCTTTAGTCCGGCTATCTGCCCTTACAAATGATTCAGAGCTAGGCTGAAACGTCTTGAGCTCTTTGTTGGAGCCATAATGCTTTTGCTCGCTGCCTTTTCTATCTCTGAATGGGTCGTAATCTCCAAATAGCTAGCGAGATCTCATATTATCCTAGTAAGCATTACTGGTTGAATTATGACTTGGACTGGGATACCCTACTGAACCGAGTTTACCCAAAGAGTCTTAGTTCGAAATGTAGGATTTATTTCTGTCGGGTTAATTAAAAGAGTTAAGGTTGCCCATATTAGGACTACCTCCTCCGATATTTAAAGATGTCTGTTCACCCTATGCGGGGAATATATTGTTGTTGGATTTAGGCTTGCCGTAATCAACTATATTTCATTATTACTATTCATTTTTACATTTAGGCTTATTAAATGAATGAGGATCATTAGAGCCCATAATTGGAGATTAATTTGGCTTTAATAATGAAGGCTGATTAGTTTTAAATAACTGAGGAGAGTCACTAAGGAAACTTGTGGGTTTCAGTGCTGGCTACTGAAATGACATAAGGTCCTTGTTGCTTCGAATGTTTACTTTCATTTACTATACTAATAATTAGGATATTGAAATTAAATAAAATGTAGTTACATCATTTTCTTCATTGAACAAATGACTATATTTCTGAAAAAATGAACTCATTTTATAATGACAAAGAATTTATTTATATATTTGTTAAAATTTATTAATTTAATTTCATCGCTAAAGTATGGGGTTTTGGGGTTTTGGGGTTTTGGGGTTTTGGGGTTTTGGGG